GCGGCACAAGCGTTGGCGCAGGACAATTGATTGTTTGTGTCGTCTCAGCAAGCATGGGAACAGGATTGGGACACATGTCGTGAGAGTTGGACGGGCAGAAGAAACAGGTGGCGTGACTTGAAAGGGCAGGAGCGTTTAGCAGTCCAAGGAGCGAGGTGTGCGCCCAGCCAACACCAGCCTTGTCAACATGTGCAACTGGCTGCCGTACCAGCTTGGCAATTTTTCGCTAGACGCATCCATCTCCGGTAGCCAGAGTCAACACGCTGTATCGCTGGGTCCAGGGTGGTGTGGCCCAATCACGGGGCGAGATCTAGATTTGTGTCGGCCCAGGCATGGGACTGCATTTCAGTACAGAGGTGGAGGATCTCCACCTAAGAAAACGGAGCTACTTGCGGGCTGGCACCGCAGCCCATCTGACGAGCAAAGCGGATGTCTCGTAGTGACAACGTGGGTGCCATGGTAGGCTGCGGCCAGAATATCGGCATGGGGATAGGGCCGCGTGTCGCGCCTGGAGGGGGGTGTTTTTTTTCTTTCCGCAACGTCTTCTTGGGCAATTCGAAAAGCGGGGCGTGAGGAGGGGCGGAGGAGAATTAGTTCAAGGTCGATCCGTTGGCGACGTCACTTGAGAGTAAGTGGCAGGCTTGAGCGAGGTGCTGCTCGTGTTTCCCCAAGAGGAATATGCGACCAACTGACGCGGTACCTATCGTACACCATACAAATGTAGTACACACTTGCACTCGTGCAGTATCAGCACGCAGCCCGCACAGTCAGCAAATCGGATATGTTAATCCAGCAAAGCCGAAGACACCCTGCATATCGCCTTGTTAGCGCCTCTGACGCTTATCAACGTCAGTGGGGTACCTAGCAAAAAAAAAGTAATCTGGCAAGCCTTACAAGCCACTTTTTTGCCTACTCATGTGTTCTGTTCCACCGCCCAATGCAAACCCCAATGCACACCGTTTGGTCACATCACGCGACTTGTCCGGCCTGCAGGTCGACCAAGATGCGGAAAACAAGAGGAAAATAGCGGTCAAAACACGCCGCTGCCCGCCTTTCCGATTCCCGCTCTCCCGCACTCGCCTCGAGGCGCACCATGGCGTCCATTGCGCAATCCTGTCATTTTTGTGCCTCTCTCTTTCCTGATGCGTCGCGTGCCCTCATTTTGTCGCTAACTAGAGTACACCGAGGAGAGAAGGATGCCGGGAAGAGCCGTACCAGTCGTGTTCACGTAAATGGTTCGTATTTTCGCGTATCGTGGAGCGAATAGTACAACGGCACTTGAATACGGTAAAGGCAGAAACTGCAGACGTGTCAGCCTAAACGAAGATGCCGATGCCTTTTTGCACAAATTGCCTCACCGAATTTGCAAACATTTCAGCTGTCATGATTACCCGCAAACATGGCAAAGCCACAAAAAGCAACGCAACCAAAGAAGCAAAGAAGCAAAAGACAAACGTACGGTACAACGTTGCAAACCTTATTTCCTGGAGCCCCCCGCGGCGCGGCCCTCAAACGGGGCACATCGTCTTCCCCACATGCCACGATCCCTCCTGTCCGCAGTATCCTATACCCATCCGCCTGTTCTTACTTTTTTCCCCCTCACATATTACACGCACACATACGGGAAAACGCAGCGCACGCTCCATCCCTCAAGCAAAACGGCACACAGCAACGCATATCCATCCCCCCCGTAAATCCCGCACAATACACGTGTCCCCAACCCCGACGATCCAGAAACATGCATCCTCAATCACACTTTCTCAGCTCCCCCCATCTTCTCCAACCAGAAACAATTGACCATCGCATTCGCATACAGTAAACAACCCCTAGTCTATCCACCACCAACCGCCGATTAAACACGCTGCCTTTTTTCCCGCTCTCTCTCTCTCTCTTTCTCCCCTTCACTCTTTTACACAGTATGTAGTAATAGGTTCCAAGTTATTCACGCACGCATGCATGTATGAATCTCACCCACACCCACACACGCCCCCCCCCCCTGCATCGCACATGCCACACATGCCACACATGCCACGCACCCACGCAGCCCAAGCGTAGCACAAGCGTAGCACAAGAGACCATTTAAGGCCTAGGAGAAATCAAGATTCTGCCCAGCCAGCGCTTATCGCGATCAAGCCGTGTAAACTAAAAGGCTTATTACACACTTTACCTTTTTACCTTTTTTTGCCTTCTCGCGCTTTACGTAGTACACTACCCGGAAGTCTGGTGCATTAACACCTTAGGTTGGCGGGTTTGGCATGTATGCATGTATGCATGTTGCATGCTGCGTGTGTGTGTGGAGCTAGGAGCTAGGTCGGGTTTGGATTGGATTGGATTGGATTGGATTGGGGCTTGGAGAAGGGTAGCGTGTGGCATGTGATGTTGAATGTGGCTATCGGGGGAAGGGGAGGGAGGGGCGTTCAGGTCGGGTGTCCGGTGAAGAAGGGGATATGTATGAGGAATGCGTGCAAGGGCCCGAAAATGGGGCGGGGTTGGAGAGATTATACGCGGGCAATGTGTGATTGATTCAGAGGTTGAGGGTACATGAAGAGGGAAGTGGGGAGGGGGGGTTTTTCACCGGAATAATGGCGTATAGACAGAGAGTATCAGGAATGTTTTCTCTCTTGCGCAAAGGGCGCTGAAAGAGCACAGGCTGAGGTGACGTGATGGTAAAGCTGAACCTACTAGCGTATTTTTCCTCGGTTGCCCCCTTTTTTCCTTTCGGTTTTCTTTCTAGTGGGATAAGCCGGGCGTTTCCGTAGTAGGGCGTCCGCTGTTGTTTGCTTGCTTGCTTGCTGATGCGGTGCGGTGCGGTGCGTGCGTGCGCCACGCGGGAAGGAGTGCGAGCGGGTTTTCTGGGATGGTTGGGCCTACGGCCGCGTTGCACAAAGCGTGGTATAGTTCCCGTGGGTATTATGACTACGTACTCACCGATCAGCAGATTCCGGGCGTTGGAAAATGATGGATTTCCTGGTTTTCACCAGCATAGGTAGGACCGATGTGAGCGAAGCATAGCTTGGGTTGGGTCCGTGGGGGTGTGTGGACGGGGATTGGGGGAGAGTGCAGTTTCGGCCTCGGAGGTAAAGAGGTGTGTGTGTGTGGTGGTTTCTCGGAAGGAGTTGTCGTGTTTGGGTTGGTTTGGGGGTGTGACTATGGAGCGATATGTCACCGGGTTTGATGTGGCTAGTGACTTTTTTACGGCTTTCAGCTCTACTTACTAGTAGTCGTACGTTTATTGATCGGCTGGACTGATCTGCCATCTCCACATTACCTCCCCCCGCAGGCAGCTAGTTGAGCTGGGGTATTGGTGGCACTACCGATTCTGACGCTGTAGATCGTCCTGCGGATATCTAACTTAGAATGGATTCTTTTTCCTTTTTTCAAGGATACAGTGGTTAGATCAGTATAGTCTCGGCCTCGGTCCCGGTCTCTTTACTTGTAAGCTAAGTAACATGATTCTCACACATATTCTATGAAGTACTTCCCAGTACCAAATCTTACTTCGCCTCATAGCCCAAGGTGTACTTGAACTGGCACGTCTGTCATACCGCGAGATAGAATCTCAACTAGTTTTGCGCCAACTACTTATATACCTTCTTGCCTAATTTCTCATGACGAGACTGCGCACTCTATATCCACTAGGCCTTTTGCACTGCAAACACTTCATAGCGACACTTGTAATTGTGCTGCTGTAGTATACTTGCGTAGTAGGTAATTAAAGTTGACGAAGTGAGCTTGATGAAAGGAGCATAGAGAGAGAATTTTAAAGGTAGTGCTGTATTTGCGATGTTGAGAGGAACGGCCAAAAAATCGTGCTGTGGTGAGATGAACCAGGTGTAGGAAGTTAGTAAGTCTGCATGAAACTCTGTGATTCCGACGCGGTGTCTCAGGCTTGAAAGAAGAGATCAAATGAAGGGCTTTCAGGCTATTCAGAGCCCCAGGATTCTACAGATCGTTTGTACCTACCTGTCCGAATCCCCTACATTGTTACCAAGTCCAGATTTAATTCACAGCATACATCCCACTATATGAGCACCGCTTGTCGGAGCAATCTCTGACATACGTACTCTTACATCATCTAGTTTTTTCAACTCTTATGTGCTATTCGCATCGTAAAGTTACTAGTAGCATCTCCATTCAGCCTCCCCGGTCCCGAGAATCGCCAACAGAGTACTATCCTGTTAAACATGAGTCCTCTCACAATTCATGACGAAATATGTATGCCAAAAATATGACCTTGTGGAGCTGTCTAAACAGCGGTACCATAAGTTTCCTCTGGATTTTATCAAACTCAGTCAGTGCTACTCATCATGTGACCACGGTGGTACATCGTTTGAGTTTTTTTGAACGAAGATGGAATATGGATAACTTACGGTAGATTTGGAACAGACCAACCCTATCATTGGCATCTTCTATACTATGAGGAATGAATTGGCTATTCAATGAATACTCAAATCGTTTATCGCCAGTCCACTCATGTGAGATTTCAAAATTGCCTTTAAAGTTAAGGAAAAAAAGCGATAATTGTTACATTCAACACACTGAAATCCTCAAGCGTTATGCTCTGCATCTCTGATTCAGCTGTTTTGATGAGGAACTACTGTATTAAATTACCTGCGATGATGCACAGGAATGTGAGTCCTCTCTTCAGTGATTTAGTACTTGTTAAAAGTTGGCATAAAGATTTTCGGATTAGACGTGAAGGGAGTTGAACAAGAAACGAAAAAGATAAAAGTCCAATTTGTCGAAGCTGTACGGTATTTAACTAGTAAGAATACGCTAATTCTTGCAAATAACAACACCGTCTATGCAACTATATACGACATAATCCCACGTGCAACTTCCCCTGACTTCCTCATCTCCCCAACTCTAACTTTTCCCTCTCACAAAGAACCACAAAACCCAAACTACGCCTACCACATCTCCCAAACACCAGAAGGAAGCACAGTCCTCATAATCTTCCAATGACTAACCGCGCCATCCTTGTGAAACTTCTCCAACTCGCCCACATCGGCATTCCCCATGACCCTACCCCCATTCTCCTTGGGCACATACTCATACTTGACCTCGAGATTCTCCTGCGGCTGCAAAAAGTTGCGACGCGCAATGCTACCCAGGTAATCAGCAGGCTTCGCGTTACGGAACCGAATTCCTTCTTTTCCGAGACCATGGTCGTTCTTGACGCAAAAGATGACCATGTTGATGAAATCGGCGTCGCCGTCATTGCGCTCCTCGGAGGCGGGGGAGTCGCGGAAGATGCGGCAGGCAGGGAAAATGGCGTGGATGGTGTTGAGGACCAAGCGCGTGCTTCCGAGAGTGAGGTCACCGGCATAGTTGATGGCTGCGAAGCCGTCGTCCTTGAGGAGATTGTACAGTCCTTGCATGAACTCGGTGGTGAAGAGGTATACGGGTTCTGCGCCGCCGGTGAACACGTCGTGGATGATGTAGTCGTAGCTTCCGGGGGCAGAGACGGACTTCTCGGCCACGTAGGAGGTAGCATCGTCAATGACGGCATTGTGGTTAGGGCTGAGGTTGAAGTACTTGGTTGCGTAATGGTGGACTACGGGGTCGAGTTCGACAATGGTGGTATTGAGACCGTGAGCAATCAAGGCGTTGGGTGCAGTGCCGATTCCGAGACCAATGACCAGGGCGGATTTCTTGCTCTCGTCTATAGCTGGGATAGATGCAACGGGGGGCTCGATAAGTCGGACGGCTTCGAGCAAAACGAAGACGGCGAAGATGGACTCGCGCTGTCGCTGGCCTTTGGCATATGCCTCTGGAGTGACGAGCCATTCTCCACCTAGAAGGGAGTGGTCGCATCGAAGGAGACGGAAGGCACTTTCAGATTGGCTTTCGACCACTGAAACGTAGCCAGTGACTGATTCCTGTCGAGCAAGAAGGGTGTAGTTTTGCGTTGCTTGGAGAGTCGAGTTTGCAAGTTGGAATCCGTGAGTTGACGGATGGTGCGGGTTGGTCCAAAGTGTGTGCAAGATAGCAGGGAACGCAAGCAGAATGACGCGCGAGGGGCTGAAGAAGGCAGACGCGGATGCGAGTAGCATCTGAAAGCCAATGCGAGTGAAGTAGACCGATGTGCCGATGAAGCTTGGGATGAGAGCGCTGCTGATCTTGGCTGTGGTGGAAACAGCAAAGTACGAAGCGGTAGGAATAACAATCTCCTTCAACGGAGAGGGATTCAAGCCGCTGATATCGATGCATTCGAGTAGATCGGCAGCAGCGAAGATTGACAAGAAAAGCAATGGAAAGTATGTCAACAGCTCAATGGCCATGGGCCCATACTCAATTCCCATCTTTTCACTGTATGGGAAGAGCAGAAACTGTATGACGGGGGTCCAGTACGCAACTACAGCGATGTACTGGGACACATTTGCGGATACATAGCTCTTGAGTCCTCGCCGGACCAACAAAGCTGCAACAGCGACAATAGTCATGGTCCGCTGGTGATGCAGCGATGCAGGAATGGATCCATAGACGGGCGACAGGTTTAGCTGAGAGACTGGAGAAGCGAAACCGGCGATAAGGAGAAGTGCTGCTGCTCGGCCCACGTTCAGAAGGACTGTTGATGCTGAAGCGTTCTGCGCCTGTGGTGCTGCTTTGTTTTCAGCCTTTGGCTTTTTCTGTGTCTTTTGTTTTGAAGGCATGGCGAAAGATGTGAAAATGTCTTCTTTGCGTAAGACACAATCTTAGGGAAAGAAAGGTGATGAGTTACGACCACGGAATGAAAAGATATGTACAGTCCAAAAAGACCAGATATCGCGTAAATGGGGCAGGAGTTCCAAGCTCTTTTCCCACTATAGACGGACCGTATATCCGCACAACGAATCTAGTCAGAGAAGAACAAGAAAATAAGGGCAACTATGACGACACACAAGGGTCAAAGAAGAGAATGAGGAAGGATAAGAATTGGGAAGACGTTGAAGTTAATAACCAAGGAGGCCAGCTGTTCCTGGCTTCGGGCCTAATGAAACGGTCGATCATTAAGGCGGTCTTGTTTCGACTGGGCGTGTTTCGACTAGACGGACCCTGCGGACCCTGTTTCCTGTGGCGCACGTTTGTGGCGTCATTACCAAGCATGACGGGACGGTTTGCGCCCGCGCCCACCTCACTCTCCATGCATCGTGCTGGATTACAGGAGAAAGACATTCGCCGGATTTTGACATTGTAGTATGCCATATCTGACTTCGCCGCCCATAATGGCGCCTCTTGCTCTACGACCTGCGAATGCGCCCGAAGCTGCGAAGCACCCCGCAGACTCGCACAACGATCCCGAGGCCGACGACATCATACCCACCAGCGCAAATGAAGACGTCGCCATGGAGGATACCGTAGACTACTCTCTTCTCCGCGACCAGATGCGACAGCAGCAGGACCAGCGGGCGCAACGCCTCCAGGCCAAGAACAGACGCAAACGCTACCTCGAAGTACATCCTGAGTACTTTACCGACTCTTCTCTCGAGCTCGCCGACCCTCTACTCTACGATCGCCTAATCCGCCGCTTCCAAACCGCATCTGAACGCGAAGCCGAAGGCCGGAAGAAGGGTTTCTCCGGTCAGATGGCGACAGACCTGTGGCGCGCTGAGGCGAAGAAGGATGCGCTGTCGCAACCAGACCCCAATTCGCTTTTTACATATACCCGCGGGCCACAGGGTGAGATAATAGAAGAGGACAAGGACGATATACCGATGACCAAGGAGGAGGGCAAGGCCTGGTGGATAGACGAGATGACACAGCGCTTCCTAAGAGGCGGAGACGACGACTTTGACTATGCAAAACTCGTGGATGGCAATCCCAAGTACGATGACCCCGAGCAGGAGAGGGACCTACAAGACGCGTATTTTGAGAGTATGGAAAGCGATTTTGACTCCGATGGAGAAGGGAAGGAGAAAGTCTTGACTGGCGAAACGGGCATACAGGACTATTGAAGTTGGCCAGATCAGGTTACACTGCACGTCGTATCTCGCGACGTGTAAGAAGGTTCCATGGTGAAACTCTCGGATTTGGTGTCACGCCAGCGTGTACGTTGTGACATTTGGATCGATCACAAGTGCAACGCTAATGACACCCGAATTCCAGGTAACAGTAGAATGCGATTACTCAAACTTCAGCTCAACTAGGCCTAAGGCAGCACTGTACAGCCCCAAATGTTTACGTTGGATGTTGTTGCTAGTACAAGTCAGCAAAGACCACCAGGGAACAGCAAAAGAAAACACAACGCCATCGAGATTAGCCGCAGCCATCCGGACAACCGATCCTATGGCATTCTCTATCTTTCTTGATAGTCATGACGAATTTCACGGTCTGACCCACTTTCAGTTATAAGTGGGGGAATATGTTGTATCGGCTTTGTCGCCTTACTAAACCAAAACTACAATAAGCACCGAGGTCTCAGTCGATATTGGGACATCTTGATGCATGATGCATGATAAAATAAACCTGGAATCAATGGTGAAGAGCAGGATCAGGCCAGAACGAAAGATATAAGTTGATAGATGAGAAGAATATGCGTAGCGAACGCCCAATCTAGTCTAGTCAAATCTAAGGTAGGATGGTAACACAGAAGAAGATAACGAATGACATTACAAGAAAAGAGAAACAGCCCACAAAGACAAGAAGATGAAGTCGAAATCGTAGTGAGCAGTAGACCAAAGAATCCTAATCGTAACCTCCAATCCTATATTTCATCCCCTTGGAGTTCCCAAACCAGAATCGCATACTCCCATTCAATCATTCTCTGTCCCGGAGACAACAGTAAAAGGTAGAGACGCCTCTTCCTTTGTTTCTAGGGTCTCCATCCCTCGCCACAAATCGGGCAACGCTCAACCCAATTATTGTTTTCAGCCCCACACTCATTACACACCCACATATCGGTTACCGCACTAGAGTAAGGGACGAGATTCATTGGAGTGTATCGAGAGGAGTTGTGAGTGACTGGAGCCGTGGAAGTGGTGGTGATGGTAGCGATGCACTGAGGGGGTACAAGTGCATGTGTACTACTATTGTAGTATTGATCCAGACGACTCTTCGATGAAGCCATGGTTCGATATCGATTCAAGTGGAGTTATTGGATAGTGGAAGGAGCAGGTTCGCTTTTGTGTCTTGTTGTGCGTAGTGTTGTGGTCGGGCTGCCTAAGACTCGATATCGGTAAATTGAACAGCGGTTTCCCTTGGTAAAGAAACAGGTATTCCTTTACGAACGCAAATCCCAGAAGTTCTCAAAATAATGATGATAGAATCTTAGTTTCAGCCGCCACAATGTGAATGATGATATGAGTAATTGCAGAGATGTCGAGAACAACCACCCATCTCACCAACTGCACTTTATACTCCCTTTCTTTTTCCCTACAAACGCAAAAAAGATAAATTGTGAAGCAAAGGCCATTCGAATAAGCCCGAATTGCCTTACCAAAAACTTACAATGCCATCTTGTCTTGCCCCACAAAAAGGGCAGCAAGGGGCAAGTTCGGACGTGCCCTTTTCCCTCATGTAAGCTTCTTTTTCTTATTTGCAAACCCAGTCACCCCTTCTAGTCCTGTGGTTGAAAAAAAAAGAAAGCATCGCTTCATTAACAGATATCAGGGCTATCATGGTACATGACTCATAGAAGGACTACTGACGATGCTGATGCTGATGCTCTCGTGTCCAAGTTCACTCCAACACCAGCGAACATCGTGAAGCAGAATGAAGATGCTGAGCAAGCCAAGAGGAATCAGAAGCCATGTGCTCTCGTCCTACTGAATGGAATTGGTGTGGTAATATGCTATCAACGGAGGTCAGTCCTGTTTTGGTGAAATTCTGTCTGTGCCCATGCTGCCTTACAAGAGAGGTTGTATTTAACATGTCGAGTCTAGACAAAAGAATGAGCGATAGGTGTAAAAGTATTGTTGAAGGTGTGAATCTACCTGCTCCGCTTGGACAGTACAACGGATGGAGTATGCTAGACGGGAAGGTAGGTTGTCCTTGTCACAACTACATGGTCTGAAAAGGGAAACGTCCGAAAGCGGGAGGAAAGCACAACCCATCACATCGTCTTCCGAACAAAAATACATTATCATATGTGACGCCCAGTTCTCCATCAACTCGGAGCTTGCCGAAAAGCCATATTCTAGGCCCCTACCACAATTATAGCCACCACTGCCACGACCACCAACATAGTCCTCTAACCACCATCTCATCACACATGACTACAGCCCAAGCATCCCGCGCCGCCCTAAAAACCTCCGCTCCGGTGCACATGTACCCAAGGCAAACACGCACACACAAGCTGAAAAGTCAGCCTTATACACGCGTGCTCACAAGGCAAACCAGGCAAACCCCACCAACCGCAAGTCCGCCTCGCGACACCCACAACCAAACCGGTGAAGCAACAACCCCTGTTGCACAATAATTAAAAAACCAAAAAAAAACCAAAAACTTGAACAAAGAAGATAACCAAAAAAAGCGCCGAAAAAAAAGCCCGAAACTCATTCTCCCCCCTACCTCTTACTATCACGGACTACTTATCTCACTCTACAACTCACACATGTCCACCCCCGCCCACGCTCCACCCTCGACACAATAACCAACAACTGCCGTCCTACCCGTCTTGTCCCTTCCTCCCACCCGGCAAACACGGCAATGACGGTGGGAATCCCAAGAGACAGCCACCCATTCTCGTCTTTTGCTTATGCACGCATAAGACAATGCCAATGTTCGTCGGCGCAGAAGGCTTGGGCTGTGAGCTTATTGAGACTGCAGCTGAATCTCTGGTGGGTTGTTTTTTTTTGTTTGCGCGGGAAAGGTTTGGTGGAGTGCGGGGCGGGGGCTTGGCAACCTGGGAATTGGCATAGCGGGGGGGGGGGGGGACACGCGTATGTCATTATTGATTGATTTTTTTCTTGCACGTGATGATAGCAGGGAGGTGTGAGGTATTTGAGTTTTTATTAAAATGATTTATTAGAGTTTGGGTACTTGGATATCTTTTTTTTTGTTTAGCTTGACTCGTGGATTTTTTTTTCGGAATTATACCGAAATTCTTTCCATGGTTGCCGGGAGTGAGCATTGGAAAGCTCAAATGAAAAGCTGCTGAGGTGGCTTTTGTATACATCATTCATTTACAAAGTAAGACGAATTGAAAGTTTTTTTTTACAGATTGACAAGTTTTGTTCAACTTCATAGAGTCTATTAACTATGGAAACTTTTTTTTCATACAAATCATTCAAAGCATATCTAATCCTGATATGTAGCATAAAGCACACAAGCATGTGGGATATAAGGCTTGGAAACATCGCTCTCAAATGCCATCTATAGCAACCAAGAAACGAACGTCTTGTAGAACCAGCTGCCGTCACGGCCGCCTGCTGCCTTCTTCGCTGCGGCATGAGCCAAGAATTCCTCTTCCTCGCGGTCGATCTCGGCTTTGCCGGAGTAGAAGTCGGCCTCGTGAGGACGAACCATCTTGGACTTCATGATGAACTTGTAGCCGAAGATGCAGATCAGATAGATTGGAATTCCCTGTGGAATCATATTAGCAAAAGGAAGATTGCCATTGGCATGAAAAAGACTTACAAGGTATCCGGTGATGAAGTTCTTGTAATCAAACGAACCATAAGAGCCCTTGGTGAAGACGGAGAAGTTCTTGGTCAAGGCGATCAAGATGCAGAAG